CAGGTCCCAGTCCGAGAAAAGGATGCAAGGATCCTGTTCATATGGACCTGTCCTCAGACAGAACACTACAAAAAAGATACACAAGAATGTCATTGTACTCCTCAATATTCTGAGTTGGAAGAATGCAGGTAACATGTTTTCACCCTATATCTGTCAGCATATAACAATGTTTTATTCGAAATGTGTAAGAAGTTTCTGTTATTGTCATTTAAGCGGAATACAATATTGGGACAAGACGACAAACAGCGTGTTACAAAATTTCCCTAAGAGCCTGGGAATTAGCCACTGAGGGCGCGCAAGAAAGACTCCACGAATTCCGTTCGTTATTCGAATGTTTTCAGTGCCAGGACTAGATTTTGTAGAATTAAGTAATTGAATTTTCTTTTACTACAGATTTAATGGTTATATCGTCTTGAATTGATTTCTTGAATTAGGTAATAGCATTTTCTTGAGTACAAGAAATGATTAGGCTGTTCAGCTATGGCTCGGTATTCACAGCCTCGTTTGTTACAACAGTGTGCACCACACGAATATGAGGACGGTATTAAAACAGAATAGACTTCACATTATGAATTCTATCCATTTCACCTCCACACCTATGTCCATTTGACATCTGTTTCGTAATTAAAACCCTATTTAGTGCATTCAAGATCTGCAAAAGTGACAGGATTGTTGGCAGTTACTTAAATGTGTATTTATACCTTTTAACCATGTCATTGATTTATGGTGGTCTGCCTGGTTACTGAGGTAATTAAGAGGAATTTTTTTCCGAAGCGTCTTTATGTAACAAGAATGCGTGTCCGGCCCATCGATTTCTTGTTTTTGTTGTTTATAAAATGTGTTGGCCTAGCCCACTTTTTAATCGCGTCATTGTCTCGTTTGTTTTAGAGGAGACGTTCTACTTCTGTCCTGATGCCATGCAGCGCCGCTTAAGTCGGTGATAATTAATATACATCTTTTTGATGAAGATGGCTCTGTCTTCTGGGTTGTAACAGTGTGTATTCCGATAGATGTTCACCGACGTTTCAGGGGAGTTTATGCCCACTCATCAGGGCGATTAACCTGATGATGGAAGCAGATCTCGATTTGAGTAAGACGGTTTTAAGTTTATTTAATGCTATGTGATCAACAGTATAAAGTAGACTGAATTTTTACTTATTAAAATTGTGTGAAGAATGATCATCTGGAAGATATGTTTTTTCCCCCTTAACATTCCTTAAAAATAAACCATCTTTGCTTTCTTACGAATTCTCATCATTCGCCACATCCTTACGTGGCCAGATGAGAGAGCTG